GATCTTCTCACATTCGCTGAGGTAGTTTTTGTTGCAATGCACTATGAAGTTGGGACTTCAAACCAGTCACAGAGAAGAAAAAGTCTGTAGTGGCAGCTGCAATGACTTCACTTTGGACAGACTTTCTTTCCCAGGCACTCATGTTGTGCTAATTTCGATTCAAGCCAAGGGCAAACAAACAACACACATATCCCAACAGTACAATGCAACAATACTGGTATCCAATGAAGGGTAGGGCAATCATGGCCCTCCCACGATTTATGTGCCAGAACCTATGCTGCTGATGCCTCTGCAGAAAGTTACCTTGGAATGGAGAAGCAAAGAATATTCTTTGAATGTGGAACATTGAGTCACTTTTGAACTTTAGGGCAGATTCTACAGACTTGCATAATACAAAGACTGTAGGGTACCAAGTTGATACACATACAGTTGTGGTAATGTTTGATGGTGGTTTTTCTGGCTGTAGTCAAGTCAAGACATTCAGCATTAGTATGAATTCTGTACAATGTGTACCACCCAGGGAAAAAGCTGGCCTAAACAGGGTAAACTCCAACAAAGAATTGTGGGTTCTCTTCTGCAGAGAATAGCTTTGGATACCACTAGTCCACTTTGGAGATAGAACAAGGTTACCTATATATACACATGTATTCATGTCAGTGATTACTTCATGAAGTGGGTTAAGACTTATCCATTGGTCAATATGTCTACACAGTCTGTGGCTGATGCAATGGTGGAGCATTGGATAGCTCAGTTCAGAATATATGAAGAGATCCACATGGATGAGGGAGCTAACTCAGAGTTTGAATAGTATTGCATGTGGTGGATATGCACACTCCACCTTATCACCCCAGTTTGATGGTTTAGTGGAACAAGTGATACAGACTTTCAAGCATATACTTGTTAAGTATGATAACCCTGATTTAACTGACTGTGATGAATACCTACCTTACATCACGATAGTGTACCATACAACTGTAAACGAAATCAAGGTCGTTCATCAAATATGTTCGTGTTCGGCCTAGAAGTTTTGCTTCTTGTAGATGTGATGTATGGTTCTTCACCTAGAGTATGTCTTTCACAATGTTGACAGGACCAAGTGAGTGGTTAAGGTCTGTGTTATTTGACATGCAGGAGTTTGAGCATCAACAGCTAGGAAAGGCTGCTATAGGACAGAAGATGTGCTATGATCAAATAATGAAGGAACAAGTATACCAAAGTGATTACTGGGTGTGGCTTTGGTGAATGTAAGCTGCACAGAAGCTTCTTGGCTCTGGCTAGCTGGACCTCATCTTGTGTTCAAATGGGAATGCAAAAGCATGTAATACACGTTGACGAGCTGTGACCATATATGAGTGACGAGCCTATGGGGAATTGGTTTGGTCAAAAATTAGAATAGGAAGTAGTCAAGTCAGATAAGGACAAAAGCAATATTTGGAGCATCTGAGAGCTAACTATAACAGCCATTAGTTTTCAGAATTGTGTACAATGTTGGGTGTGGTGAGTTATCAGACATTGTTTAAGTGACCATGCAGCCTTATTCTATTGTTGTGTTATTGCTAGTTTCAGGTAAAAACTTATTTTCCCACAAGTATTAAACAGTTAAACCCATTAATATCAGCAGATTAGCACATGAAATAAGGAGGTTCATCTGAATCTGATAACTTGACCGCGTTTTAATATAATGTATGTGAAATAATGAGTCCAGACAAATTTGATAAAATGAACACAATCTTTATTATAATTCAAACAAAAAGAAAATGCAGTGTAAATACTTACACACATGAAAAGACAGTCCTTTTTACTGAATTTTGATTTTACACATGATTTTCCTAAAGTAAGTCTTTACTGGAATGACTCAGATAAACTCAGTTTTTTGTCCAGTCAACAGCACTAGCTTGTGACTTTTGTTCTCTCACAGCATTGGTTGGCTACAACACTCAAACAGCAAAGGATGTGAAAATAACTAATCCTTTCAACTATCCTCTAGGGCAGAATAAACATTATCTACTATAAAGAACAAAGAAACAAAACAACTAGAACAAGACAGTCTCAAAGATTTTCTGAACTACGTGTTTATGCTAAAACTACATACAAATTAAAAAACAAAAATTATACAGATTTCTATAGCACTAAAGCAGGTAGAAAACACAACATGCCTACACATCATACGTTTTTCCCTTCGCTTTTTTAGGCTTGTTGTCAAGCCGACAATTAAATTCAATATTAAAATCCATAACCTTTAAACATTCAACATGGTTAAAACACCTGTACACACAACAGAGACATCACAAACTCTTTAACAGTTATTTATACTAAGCTAAAAGAGCATAAAATCCTTTAACATTGATTTAAAATAAAATGTAAATAATCTTTTTTACTACAAGTTAACAGCTGTTCATCAGACAGCATACTATACCGAACAAAATATTTTCAATTTTATTGAGTATCAGTGCAATCCTTTACAGAATGAAATACTTTACCCTTAGATTATGCTAATATATACAGAATGAAACAAAAGAAAAACCCCTTTAAATTTCATTTTAGTTTAACACTAGAACAAAATTTTCAGTTTTAAATCTATACAAAATACTAAAGCAAAAAACATAAGCCTTTTAACTTTCATCATTTACATACGTTACTATCATAAATCCTTAATAAAGAAATAGATTAAATACTATTTAACATTAGAAAACACTTTATAACACCGAACACATGAATGCCCTTTAACACAAATAAAGCAATACACAAGAACGTACTTACAATCGCAAAAAATAAAACTAAAGTTTGTTTGTAGTTTAAGCACAAAGCTACAGAATGGGCTATCCGTGCTCTGTCCGCTACGGGTATCGAAACCCGGTTTCTAGCGTTGTAACTCCGCAGATCTACCGCTGTCCCACTGGGAAGCATAAAACTAAAGAAGAAAAAGAAAGAAATAAAGAAAATGCAGAGCTATGCTATCCACTTTAAGAATAAACAGATTAACACAAAGAAAGCTGATCACGAAACTAGAAAAAAAGAAAGAAAACATAATAAAAACTCTTTAACATTAAGCATTTTATTTTTCAACTGTAACGAAGATCTTACGTTTCTCTCTTGTGAAAGGGAAATCTGATGAAAAGTAAAAATTAAAAAGGTCCTTTAATGGCAAATATGGGCTTAAAATATCACCTATATTAAATTTATGAAACACAAAAAGAAATCGTTACTGAGTATAAAGGATAACCACATAAGAAAAATTCAAACTCTTTAACTTTAAACGAGCGAATAATAAAATGAAATTATTGTAACTGCTTCCTGCTCACACATATTTATTTGTGAAACCATTTTACACCATACACATGTCTATTCGTAGAATAATAGAAAAACAAAAGAAATAAATTAAAAATATACATATCAAAAAAGAACTTTAACTCCCTGTTCTTTCGCATACACTTACATGCGTGGAAGAATTATGGCATCATGGTTATATACAAAAAATGGACTCCATATAAACACTAACAAAATACCAAAACTTGTTAGGCCCCTGCCTTCCACAAACACACTCATGAGTGCTAAGGGTAAAATGCACCCTAAATTTAAATTAAAATGCAAAATATTGTTATTGATGTTGTTTGTTACTAAGCACAAAATTATACAAAGGGCTATCTGTGCTCTGTTCACCACGGCTATCAAAACCCGGTTTCTAGCGGTATGAGCCATTGGGGGGGGGGGGGGGCAAAATGCAAAATAAGTTGTGTCTTTTGATTGGTGGCTGTGGATGCATTGAGATCTACTTAGTTCCTCATTAGGTTCTGCTTGGCTTCAGCTAGTCTGACCTACAAGCACTGGACCTCCTTGTATTTTGACAGAGGAGTGGCCATTCACTTAGCTGATCTTCTCGGTTATGGAATGCTTAAGCCTCTATCCACTTGACACCCATCTCCTGACAATAATGTTTTAGTTTCGAAATATGCCCTGATGTGATCAAACTGTGAACACTGTAGGTAGAAAGTTTCATTTTCGGCTCCTTCTGAGATGTGTCTCAAGGTCTTTTGTTCAGTGGTTCCTTGCTCAGGATTGTAGTGTGTGTCTTCCAGTACCTTTCTGTCTAGGACATTGAAGCAAAAGCTCGTTCATTGAGGACAGGAACCATCAGAGTAGCCATGTGGTTTATCTGTACCACCATTGATGCCATCTTAGTTGGTTTTGCAGCTGAAGGTTGTAACCATGAGGTCATCATGAAGCCTGCCCTAGTTTTATTAATAGTAGACAGTAGTCTAGCACTCTCTGTCTCCATGATGAGTTCACTTCCTAACTGTAGAGGAAATATTGGCATCCTGCAGCAGTTGGAGTACTTCATAAGGTGATGAATTCATCTAACACAATCAGAGTTGGGAAACAGGAACTGGAATAAGAGCTGATCAGGTAAGGTCAGGACCGCTGCTTCACAGATGTGAGTGAGAGACTGACCTTGGCTCAAACATACCTTAACTCAAACGTGGAGTGGATTTCGCATTATGTTTACCAGAAAATTACAAAAAATGTGTTACAACACTGAGATTGATCTTTATGTACATATTGTTAAATACAGATCATAAGGCTTTTTATTTCTTTGCCAGACCACGAGATTACACATCACGTAACTAATAACTTAGCATTTGTATTAGCAAATCATACATGAACTTAATATCCACATGTCACAGCTAGGGGAACTTAATATTGGTGTCTAAATATAAAAATGACTATTAATATTTTGAGGCAAAAAGTATAACAGAACTATACGATAGAAGGAAAAATCTTGTAAATAAAATCATAACTAAAAATAAAAGAATAAATCACTACCTCACACTTCAGTAGCTTTGTGCGATTATTCTGACACAACAACAACACACTTTGATTGGTATATAGATAGCAATATGTATATTAAAACAAAAATCCAGTTAGTCTTGCTTTGAACATTTGTTATATTTTTATGGCTTTTCAAAATTTCCCCCAATAACACATTTTCCCGTTGACGCCGGTTACCATGAAGCCGGAGCATTAGCGTTAAATTTCGCTATAAGTATAAGCATTATTTCAAAATTGTCAACTTGTAATGTTTTCTTCCAGTTATATCTTAACTAAAGAGATTGTAAATACTTGTTATAAACTAAAATAGAACTTCTATTGAAAAAAAAAGTATTTTTTCTTTGTGTAGTATTTCTTAGGATATTCATTTGGCTAACTTAACTAACTGCAATATGGATGACAGAATTTTGGCTTTGATTGAAACAGGCAGCGAAGAAAATGTGAAAACAGTATTACTGGAATTTAACAAAAAGGTAATACTAATAATAATAGGCATACTGTTGCTTATCATATGTAAGGAAGAATCAGAAAGTTAATTGCAAAACTGTATCACTTTGGTGTAGTGATATAATTACAACTACTGAATTATTTCTAATTAATAGTACTAGTATAGTAGGTAGCATTACTATTACTAATTAATACTAATAGTACTACTAGTAAGTTGTATTACTATTATTAGTATTACTACTGGCAGTACTGCTGAGTACTACAGACACAGCTAAGCCTAAAGTTAAGGTGGAAGTTGTAAAATTTAATTCAGATTTTGTACTATAGTATAAATTATAATAGTAGTATACGTATTACAATATTAATATTAGTAGATAATATGCGTAATATCATTAATGTTTTGAGTAATAACAGTATTTTATTTTTTAGGTAAAAAGATCCAAACCGGCAAAATAATAAAATACCTAACTAATTAGATTACACAAAATAACAAACTTTGTACTTGTAAAATAATGTAAGATCACAAATAAAGATAAAACAAATATTTGTAATCATTTCTTTCAGCATTAGCAGTTGTATCTCTTGCATATCACAACTTTTTATAAATTTTAGTGTAATTCCTCTCCAGAGTCATCATAACTTCAGATTATATATTTACCTAATTGTGTATGAACTCAGGATCCATACATCCACTGGTGGTGAACTCATAACATAAAAATTACTCTTAATATTTAATAAAGAATCACAAAAGCTAGAATATAAGGCATATAATAATGTAGCTAAACTAAATGATATAAGGAAAAAAAATACATAAAATTAAAAGATAAACTAAGTAATAAAAATAGAAATTGCTACCATAGATTTAGTAAAAAAAAAATATGATGGCAACATTCACTTCTTAAAATTCCCAATTTTCCTCTCATTATATGAAATACTCTATACCAGCACTAGAAACTCTTGTTAGTTTCAGTGTTCAACTAACATGTGATGATACCCTTCTGACATATAACTTCTCCCATTCCAACACGTATAAGGTTCAAGCAATTATAGCACATCTAGAAAGAAACTAATTATACCAAGCACACATGCCAAAAAAGGTACTTAATTCCTTACAATTCTTTGTAGTTGGAAAATCTTTTACAGCTTTTCATCATTTGTATCTATTCCTTCAGAAGTAATTCTAAACAACAGACAGGATATTTTTGGTTTACAGAATTAACTTTACTAAATTTCACTTTTAGGTTACAGATCTTCATGTTTGAAAAATGCATGACGACTTGTAAACAGCCCCAACCAAAAAGTCCATGGAGACTGTTAGCAGACTGATCTGTATCTTGATTCTTTGTTTACAAAATTGGACAATAAAAGTTAATTTGTATTGACTGAATTGTACTGTTTTTTTTTTTGTCAACAAAATAGAGTTTTGCTGGCTAAACTGAGACATGTCCACAGAGAGTCACTGAACTATGATGACCTTTGATCAATATGGCAGCCTTTGTGGCCTTGTGTCATGCAAAAAGTAAGTCATCAAATGCAATTTAGGTCACAATCAAGTTTGCTAAAACTCTTCTTGCTAGTCTGAACTTGCTAATAATTAATATCCAATTTTGTAATTCAAGCTTTGAAACATTGAATTGGTTTCTCAGTTACATATATTTGGTGTCTGTTAGGGTAGTCCTTATTTTTGAAGTTTTACAACACTCTCACACCATCATTTTGTTCCTGTATATAGATAAGTAATTCACACCCAATTGAATAATATTTAGGGGGTGTTCAAGTTGGTTGAAATTTTACCTTGTGGCTCACATTATATTGGCATATTCTGAATAATCAATAATGTTCCAGAATACTCGAAATAATTCTGGAAGATTCTAGATTATTCTAGAATGTTCTAGCATATTATTATGGAATATTTTAGCATATTTTGGAATATTCCAGAGTATTCCATCTTATGCAAAATGTTCAAGAACATTCCATAGATATATATTATCCATGATGTCAATTTTTACATGTAGAATGAAAATGTCAGTTGTTGGGAATTATCCCACAGCAGTGATGATGATGTTGGTGAATACCTTACCAATAAAAGGGTAAAGATAGAGAAGCAATTGGAGAATCACCATCTTTTAAACCTAAAAAGAGTGCAAGAAGAAATATTATCACTCCCAACTTAGCAGCAGCTGTTGACAGAACGAAGTTGAGTAACACGCAACATTTGCCTTCACTACTGCAGCTCACAGAATTGGTCATGATGTGCACAAGCTAACCATCAATTCTTCCTTGATCCAATGATCTCAAAATCACTTCCATGATGAATAGGTCATAAACTTAAAGGAACAATTCCATCCGATAGTTGCATTTGTAGTTCACTGGGATAGCAAACTCCTTAATGATCTCATAAGGAAAGAACAAGTAGATCATCTGCAAGTGATCCTGTCTGGAGCCGGGGTCAACCAACTCCTAGGTGTAACAAAGTTAATTTTTAGTACTGGAGAGGCTCAAGCTTCTACTGTGGCTCATTTGCTGGAAAAGTGGAGAGTGATTGATTGTGTAAAGGTAGTTTTCCATTGACACAACAGCAAGCAACACTGGTCATAGAAGTGGAGTATGTGTGCTATTAGAACAAAGATTAAACAACAATCTTCTGCATTTGGCATGCAGGCATAAATATCTTTGAACTTTTCCTTGCATATGTTTTCAAAGACTGTATGAGGCTTTCCTCTGGTCCAGATATTGCAATTTTCAGTCTATTTGAGCAATCTTGGGAATACTTGGACCAGTCCAGCTACGAAACTTCAGCTGACCATGATGAAGTAGCAGAAGCCATTCAGGAAGTTAAAGACAGTGTCACTGAATTTGCTACAAGACAATTTCAATTCAGCCAACCTAGAGATGATTCTTGAGAGCTTCTTTAACTAACCATAACCTTTTTTGTTGGCATCCCTCCTCATGGAGTGCAATTTATAGTATCTGGAGCATTGCATCATGGTCAAGGTATTATATACTCTCATGATATGGATGTTTATGGGATGGATTAAGTTCACTGGCTGGGAGGAAAGAATACTCCATCACAACTGCATCTTTATTGTTTGAGTCTATCTTAGGGCATGGTTCACTGTTTCTGATGCAGTCTCTGCTATCACAATGATCTTATCTTTGTACAATGTCTTATTAAGTATAAGAAAGTGAATTCTGCTCTTTAAAATATTCCTGTCAAAAATTTGCTGGACATTTATGGTATCTCAATGAGGAACTTATTGGTTTGGCATTCTTTGATTCAGCTGTATCTACAGAGACAAAATGAGCAACGACAAGAAAGGTATGGATGAAATTCCAAAGATCATCTAGCTGAATATCAGGAAGTCTGAAAACATATCAACTGAAGATTTCATCAAAAAGAACACAACAGACTTCTTCAGGTGTCTCAAAATTGCATCTGGATTTCTGGATTATGACCCAGGGTCATGGAAACAGAGGGAGGACTACAGGGAGGTTCTATAGACAACACTTGAATGTGATAAATGACAATGTTGAAAAGGGTGTGGCCCTTAATGGGGAGTATAATGGTGTCATAACAAAGAAAGAAGAACAGAAATATTTCCTTCTTTAAGTTGTGCAGGATCATAGAAGATGCTTTCCTAACAGCAAAAAAGGAAACAATAATAATGCAAAAGTGACTAACCACACCAAAATCATCTAATTATACTATTGCACATGCAATTAAATAATGATATGCTTTAAATAAAACATTTATAAAACATAACAAATTTGTTTTCATATTACATAATACATACAGTGCAAGCCACTGCATTCTAGAACTTCAACCTTATTCAGGAATTGGCTATCAAGTTTAACACAATGAGTTAGGTATTTGTACACAGAGTTAACCAGGCCTAGAACTACTTTAATAGCTAGTGTTTAGTGAATCATATTTTGCTAGTTGAAGTTTGGAAATGAAACATGCAAGTACAACCTATAGTTTCTAAGCCAAAAGTCTCTTTCTATGTTTCATGTCCATTTGTGGTATTTACTAATATATTAATCAAATGTAACTGATTAATGAAATTGTGTACATGCTGCCTCCAACCGTTCCCTCTACAATAAAAAAAGGGCATTTCTATCTTCATAACTTTTTCATCCACTACATTATTCTAACATGGTATTAATTTCTTATTTTCTGTATGTGTTTGTGTGTATTTCAATATAGCTCAAAAGGTCATATCACTGTGTGTGTAACATGGTTAGTCAGGCCAATTAAAATATTGGAGTTATAGCAGCCAACAGGGTTACACGAAGTTATCTGTGTTTACAAACAACAGATGATTGCATGACCACTATCATGATGAACAATAACAGGATCTGAATTCAAAAATATTTATTTCTTGGTCAAAATAAAAGGGCCAGTTAGTGGGCTCAAAGTGGTGAGCATCATGACAGACTTGATGGAGGCTATAACAAGTCTTTGCAACCTCATTTTATAGGCACTTTCAAGTGTCAGTGTGACGGTACCTGTCAAACGTGAAGCTCAGGTCTCTTGTCAGTATTCCATGTCATTCAAAAAGCTTTAAATCATTTTTCACAGGTTGTTGAATGAGACTAAGGAAAGGATTTGATTTTAAAAGTCATCTTCATGTTGCACAAAATATCTCTGTCCTGTTCTGAACAACAACTCTGAGTCATTTTCTGTTTTGACCAATGAATGGATGCTGTTCCTCTGACGTGTAGGCTTGCACTCACTGCATCAGCATTTTTTACTTCAATATCAAAATGAAAAGCACAAGTAAGATAAAGCATTCACAAAACAAATTGAAGTAACCACGTTCATTGAAAACTATCAACAGAAGGAATACCTGGTGAAGACCAGTGATCCAGCTTACAGCAGTAAAAATATGAGAAGGAAGACTGCCTATGAAAAATTGGCTACCAAGTTCAACACAACGAGTAAGTTATTTGTACATGGGGCTAACCAGACTTAGACCTACTTTCATAGCTAGTGTTTAGTCAATCATAGTTTCCTAGTTGAAGT